CTAGCCCCTACTCCCACTCACATCAGCAGGGAGGCACCAGGTGGAACTAATCTCCCAGCAATTTGGGCGTGCCAGGTACCTCTAAGGAAAAGGACCAAGAACGGCTGTATGGCAGAAATGTAAGCAGCTTGTGTTTGGAGACAGCCAACATTCAGCTCCACTAAAGTGATTGTGCAAACAAGTCCTTCTACAAAAACTCTGAAAGAGAACCGACTATTAAATGGCTGTTCATTGAGTGAAATCCAGTAAGAATGTAGAGGACTATCCTTTTCAAGTGGGGAATTGCACAAGAAGTCACATTAATACTTGACAGTGAAAAACCGAGGGGTAAAGACTGGAGGACCAAGTAAAGTGCCCAGCATATCCATAGACTGTTTCCTGTCCTGCTGCTGAACAAAAATGGCTGATTCATTAATGCTGGAGCAATTTAAGGCCGCGAGAACATCAGCAAAGCGTCAATTTTCCCGTCTGGCCAATAATGTGCTACGAATGCGCACAATGATGTCTGAGGAGGAGCTCAGAGACAGTTTTGTAAAGCTCACAGCAGAAGCCGGCAGAGTTCTTGAGGCCAATGATGATGTCGAGGGACAATATACTGCAGAAAATGCAGATGAAGAGGCCTTAAGTGAGCACCAAAGGTCTGACTTGGACAAAACAGCCACTGAGTGTGAGAGACGCCTGCAAGAGTTAAAATACCTCATACAAAGGACATTGTGGGCAAACTATATGGAATATGAACTGACACAGGAAATTACAAATGCTGAAATTCAAGTAGATCTTGTTGGAACTGTGGACCCAAGTAAAAACACAGAAGCTTATGACTTCATGATAGGACAACTGGAAAAACTTGCGAAGTCAGCAACGGCGGTGCATATACATTGGAAGTGCTGGGCTCCCCTTGCAGAGCAACATCAGTTCCAGAGTCATATCAAAGGCCTTGAAACCATATTACCAAGACTGACTTTAAGAAAAGCAGACTTTATAGAAGCACAGGCCAGAGAAGAGCCCAGCAGATTAAGCACTGCTTCATTCAGCCGCACCTGCCATTAAGCTAAAGCCGGCTGCCCTCCCAAAGTTTACTGGTATCCGACGAGAGTTTCAGCGGTGGAAAAAAGATTGGGAAGCGCTCCAGATGCAGGGAGAACCTACTGGATCCAAAGAAATCAAAACAATTCCAGCTACTTGACAGTTTAGATGGAAGGACCATACGGGACTTTCGTCTTACATCTCACACAACAGCTGAAGAAGTTTTCCGGGTCATAGAGAACCGCTTTGGAAATAAAACCACAATTGCCCTTGAAATAGTGGAGGAGCTCCAGAGATTCCCAGCTGTTAAAGGCCAGCAGCCCAGGAAGATTGTTGAGCTCATACAATCAGAAGAGAAAGCTCTTATTAACCTGAATGAGCTTGGTAAGACCGGCGCTATAAAAAACCCTCTTGTTACAAAAACAATAGAGAGTAAACTCCCGGATGGCTTAAAGAAGGAGTGGCTTCTCCATGTATCCGGCAAAGGTGATGAAGCCGAAGAAGACAAACGTTTTGACTACCTCTTGGCATTCCTACAAAGTCAAGAAGCCATCTATGAGAAGCTGGACCAGTTGAAGTAGGAGGAGTCAAAAACAAAATCTGAACCACAGATAGCCCGGACTAGAACCTCCACCCAACCAAGCAATCAGGCTCAAGGATGTGTGGTCTGTGGCGATGTGAAGCACAAGAGAAGATTATACTTCTGCCAAATGTTTTGCACGCTCAAACTATCAGAGAGGAGAGATGCTGTCAAAAACTGGGCGCATGCAAAAAATGTCTGGAGATTCACAATGACAATGAATACTGTAAACCAGAGTTCCTGTGCAAAAAGACAACAACGCACTGCTGAACACCATTATTACCTCTGTCCGAGTGCTGAAGTGTCATGGGGAAATGCTACGCAGAGACCCAAAGAGAGCACAGTCGGAGGGCGTTACACCCAAGTCCAAGAAGATTTCATAAAGAGCCTGTCACCTGAGCTTGCAGAAAAGTGCCGTCATGTCTTTTGCAACAGTGTGGCCAAAACCTCTCTCATGTCTAAACAGCCTGGTCCTCTGTTGGAAAATGGATTAATGGAATGGCCTGTCATCATGATGTTATTAGGAGTCACAGCCAATGCAGTACAAAAAGTTGGGACACCAATCGATCTAGCATCGGATACAAACTACATAACTCATGATGTAGCTGATCGATTGAATCTTAGAAGTGAAGCCATAACCCTTGTCGTCCATGGTGTGGGAGGAATGAAAGTACAAGATACAACAAAACGATACCTCCTAAAGATCCGGATCTGTACAGAAAAGGGCAACTTCAAGTTCCACCAACTCCTCTGTTATGGCTTGGACAGCATTGCGGACATCCACATACATGTGACAGCCAAAAGACTCCAAAAGTTTTTTCCAGACGTCCTTCTCAAAGAATTGGAGAGGCCGAAAGAAATACAGCCTTTGATAAGCCAAGTCTTTTCTGGGCAAAGTAAAGGACAGAAAGAAGAGGCCTCACCAAATATTGTTGACCTGCCAAATCAGCTAAAGGAAAAAGATAATAAGGCACTTGGTCTTGGCTACATTGTGGCTGAGGACAAGTTGCATGTCATGGTGAGAGTCAACTTCTCCAGACGAAAAAAGAAAATGAGGCTTGGCCAAGATCTGTTGCTGGAAGAAGTTCGATCACGGACACCAAACCTATTGACAAGAAGTGATTTGCTAAGTCAAGCATCAGATCCACTCGCAGTCACCTTTTCAGATGGCAGTGAAACATCTTACGGTGCTGTCCTCTACCTATGATGGAATTGCCAAGAACAAACAACAGTTCAACTAGTGGAGTCAAAAGCAAAGCTAATGCCCCTAGACCACAAGGGGGATGCAGTCAAAGCGGAGCTTTGTGGTGCTGTCTTTGCAAGCCGCCTGACAAAGTACTTTGAACAATACACAGCCAGATCAAAATTAAGCAGTGATTCCATTTATTGGACAGCCAGACAGTTCTTGGAGCTATCCAGCGTGAGAGCTACGGGTTTCAGACTTTCTCCGCTAATAGGATCGGAGAGATTCAAAGTAACACAAGGCTAGAGGACTGGTGGTGGATCCCTGGACCACACAACATAGCTGACATCATCACCCGAGGAGCTGGGCCAACAGACCTTGATGTCAATTGAGAGTGGCAGCACCTCGGAGCCTACGTGCCAAAACCCTGGCCATGATCTTGTAATCCGTGCAGAGCAGGGAGATCGGCCTGTAATTCTCAAAATGGTCCTTGTCCCCCTTCTTCTATAAGAGGGTTAGGATCCCCTCCCTCATCGTTGTGCCAAGAAGACCCCCCTCCAAGAGTGAATTCATCACCTCGAAAAAATCCCTCCCTAGAATCCCCCAGAAAGCAACATAGAACTCCTTTGGCAATCCGTCAATTCCAGGCACCCTGCCTGCTGGCAACCCCTTCATAACCCCTTCAAGTTCAGCCATCGTTACCGGCCGCTCCAACTCCTCCACCACCTCAGCAGGCAACTTCCCCTCCAACCCCCCGAGAAAACGGCTTGCCCCAGAGCAGTCAACCAACTGCTCCCCAAACGCCTCCCCGAAAAAATCTTTACGGCCTCCATCCCCTCCCTATCCACCCCCCCCACCCCCACCCCCCTATTCTCGGTGGCTACCATAGCCTGCAAATGCCATGGATGTCTTGTCACGTTTCCTGTTTTGTTTTGTAGTCCTTCCTGTTTGGTCCCTGTGTGGCTTTCCCACTTGCTCTCTGTTGATTTCCTTACTCCTCCCTAATTACCTCCACCTGTGTCTCATTGTTTCCTTCCCTGTCTTGTATATTTAGTCCCCAGTCTGTCTATTGTTCGTCGCGTGTTCGTACTTGTCATTTCGTCAGTCGTCAGCATTCTAGTCTTGTCTTGCCTTGTTTTCCTGACCTTTGCCTGCCTATCCTTGACCACCGTTTTTGCCTGCCGTCCTTGTACCTTTGCCTGATCATTGCCTACCTGTGTAACGACCTTTTTCTTGATTAAACGACTTCATCTTATTCCCTTGCCTGGAGTTTTGCATTTGGGTCCTGGGGTCACGACTGTGATAGCAAAGAGCGTTGTAGCCCCTCAAACTTCTCCCTCCCCGCCCGCGCCTTGTCCGTGCAGTACAAAATGGCTAAAATCCGGGTTTTGCGCTTCACCGGTTCCCACCACTCGACCACCGAGCCAAACCACGGCTTCAGCAAGACCCACACCCCATAATGTGCAATGTAGGACCTACGGAAAGCCGCTTCCTCCAACACTGTGCAGTTTAACTTCCAGAAACCCCTACATAAAAGGGGCGCAGACACCCAAAAAATAACCAGAAGCTGACTATGGGCAGAGAACCACACCGGCGACACTGCAGCGCTATGTACGGTGGTTGCCTCGGGCAAAAAAACTAAGTCAATGCGGCAGCGGGAACCCCGGGAATTGGCCCAAGTGAACCCATCCCCTGTGGAATCCACATCTCTAAACCCTTCCTGAAATATAAACCCCTGCAAGACTTCCCTCAGATACGGCAAACTTTTGGTAAACATTGAAATCCCCCCCTGAAACTACCACCCTATTGGTGACGCAGACATTGGGTAAGGCCAAAAAAAGTTCCTTGCGCCCCCGCGGCTCAGCCGGAGCATACACATTAGTAAAACGAAAATAAACTCCTCTCCAATTTGCGTCCACCACCAGGACCCGCCCCTGCACCACTGAAAAACTGCCTGAAATGTGATAGTCCCTATCCCCAAATAATATTCCAACCCCTGATGAATGCCCGACCCCCCCACCCCCGACCTGGACTCACCCTTGTGCCATCCCCCAGAAAACACCCCCACGTCCCCCCATCCCTCAAATGAACTTCTTGTAAAAAAAAAACCTGAAAAGAAACATGTCACAAGTACTGAAAAACACCTCCACGCTTTCCCCGATTCCTCATCCCCCGCACATTCACAGTTAAAACAGAGAACAAACTCATGACTTAACCTCTTTCAGTCTCTCCCACGGTCCCTTCAGCCTCCACCCCGAGAGAGCCATCTGGACCATAAGACCCCAACTCCTGCAGGTAGGCCACACTGCTGGGCGATCCGGCCTCCAGAAAAGAGTGTGTTGGGCTTAAAGGTGACGCCAGCCCCAACTCCACAGGCCGAGACTCCACCCCATAGCCATCCACCAGAGTCACCATGTTGGAGCCCTCCACAGGACCAGCCTTTACAGCCACCGGTCCACTGGACTCCCCTTCTCCCGAATCCCCGGTGAGGATGTCATAGCGGCCCGACAGCGAAAAAGGGGCCCCATTGGGTTGAGCCTCTGCATGTTGTCCGGCCCGCATCCACTTTCTCCTCCTGCCCTGGCCGACCAGGCTCTGGCGACAATTCTGGCTGATCCCCTCCTGAGGACGTCAATCTCCTCATCGCCCCTCCAGTAACAGCCCCGGCTGACTCCCCTATGTCTGAACTCCTCTCCCAGTCCGCCCAGGACCCTTCCATGGGCAGAGAGTCCCCCAGGCCTACCAGCACTCCCTCACCCAGATATCCCGGTAATTATTCCACCGTGTCCTCGGCCCCATCAGCCGGAATGGCTCCGCACCTGGATCAGCTTCAGCAGCCGTTGCTGCCTTCCCTGCTGGAAGGTCACCCTCCACCCCCCGGACCTCCTGCGGTTCCTCCACCAAAGGTCCCAGGCTTGGGCCCATACTCTCCCCTGCCACTGCCGCATATGTGCAGCCTTGAGAAGGGCAGACCTAAAAAAGGTGGCCTGTTTTCCCACACCCATTGCAGGTTTTTGGTGCACTGCATGAGGCTGCTCCATGTCCCTCCCCTCCACAGTTCCGGATCAGCGTGCAGCCAGCCGCCAAATGTCAGAAAAAGCGAGACTGTTGGGATCTGGGGAAGGCTGGCTGGGGTTCTTTCCCACTTTTTCCACCAGGGGGCTTCCTGGAGGTTCCTGGAGGGCGTGGTTTCGCGGCTGCACACCTGACGCATGTCTGACTCATTTGAAGGAGTATATCTGGGTGGAGCTGTTTGCCAGTTTTGGTTGCTCCTCCGTGACGCCTTGGCCGCCTGACCCGAGTGACTTGCCGGAAGGTTTTTTCACCCTGGATTGCTGTTCCTCCGCTGACCAGCCTATCCCCCTCCTTCCCTGAGCCCCGGCCTCGCGGACCCTCCAGTCCCAGACCTCCAGCCGAGCTTTCCCCTGCGAATCCTCAAAATCCAGAGATCCAGCCGTTGTCAGAGAGAAAGAAAGATAAGAGACCTCTCACCTTCTCCTGTCCATATCTGCACGTTGTTTTCTAATAAATTTCCCTAACCTGATCTGCCTCCGGAGTGTGTTCTGCACATGTGGGTTCAGAGAATTGATCACACCATGACAGAGACTGCCTAAAAAAACTCGGTTGACCCGAGTAAAACAAAAAAAACCTTTCCCATCCGAGTGAAAAAAAGGCAGGAGGGTGTCGAAGGCCATCCCCACTCTCAGGATCCTCCCCGAAGAGAACCCGGAACTGTCGCCGACCTGACCAAATACCGTAATTGTCCTCAGGTATTTCACCGGCTTATCCACCTTCCCATACTTTCCCAGAAAAATAGCCACTGCTGCGTTGCTCACATACGGGTTGTACATTTGCACTATGACGACCCGCACATTCCTCTGTCCCAAAGGCTCCACCTTGAAAAGGGAAAAGGGAACAGACTCTTCATTGGCCTTGCAAGTCATTAGCAAACCGTCGTATGTAACCTGGCTGTGCAGAATAACATCGTAGCCGTTGTCGGAAGAATTCCACTGCAGGCAGAAGACATGGTGGACCTGGGTCCACCTTGAGCCCGTCGATCAGTACCGTCTTAACAAACCAATCCCGTCCTCCAACCGCCGTCTCCTTCCAAACGAACCTCACACAATTGCGCAGGCCAGCCTCCCTGGCTCCCTGGCGCAAGTTTTTGTGATGTATCAAGAGCCACGGTCTCCAGGGTAATGTCAGCATACGACCAAGAAGGACGAACCACATCCAACAGGATTAACGGTGGACGCAAGAGGAAGATGTCTGAAAGGGATGTTCGGGTGCTAACCCGGATTGGATCCTAAAAACATAAAACCACGGCTGCCCAAATCACGGCAGAATTAAATGTGCACCTCAACTCTCCTGTTTCCACCAAAACTGTCCATCGGGAGCTCCACAGGGTCAATATACACGGCCGGGCTGCTATAGCAAAACCTTTGGTCACTCATGCCAATGCCAAATGTCAGTTTCAATGGTGCAAGGAGCGCAAATCTTGGGATGTGGACAATGTGAAACATGTATTGTTCTCTGATGAGTCTGCCTTTACTGTTTTCCCCACATCCGGGAGAGTTACGTTGTGGAGAAGCCCCACAGAAGCGGACCACCCAGACTGTTGCATGCCCAGAGTGAAGCATGAGGGTGGATCAGTGATGGTTTGGGCTGCCATATCATGGCATTCCCTTGGCCCCATACTTGTGCTAGATGAGCACATCACTGTCAAGGACTACCGAACCATTCTGGAGGACCATGTGCATCCAATGCTTCAAACACTGTATCTTGAAGGACGTGCCGTGTATCAGGATGACAATGCACCAATACACACAGCAAAACTGGTGAAAGATTGGTTTGATGAACATGAAAGTGAAGTTGAACATCTCCCATGGCCTACACAGTCACAAGATCTCAATATTATTGAGCCACTTTGGGGTGTTTTGGAGGAGCGAGTCAGGAAACATTTTCCTCCACCAGCATCACGTCGTGACCTGGCCACTATGCTGCAAGAAGAATGGCTTAAAATCCCTCTGACCACTGTGCAGGACTTATATATGTCATTCCCAAGACGAATTAACGCTGCATTGGCTTCTTCCGGCTCTCGGCGAGTGCAGACGTGTTTCTCTCTGCTCCCTCCCCTGCCCTTTTTGCCTGCTTGCTATCTTTGTCCTGTCGTATCTCAGAGCCTCTTTCTGCATTTTCACTTCCTAAAGCCTAACATCAACCATGGATTTGGTCGGCTGGTCTCTCAACGCAATTGAGGCCACGACCCTGATGTACATTCACCGGAAAAGCCCATCATGGAGGCGTAAGCTGGCGTAAGCGTAGCGGTAAGCGTAGCGGTAAGCGTATCGACCCATTTCCGTTTCCGGTGTTAGCGGTGTTTGTGTGGTGGTAGCGCTTTTTTCTCTGCTCTCGCTAACTACCATATAACGTAATTATATTTCAGTGAGTTTGCCTAAGCACCAATAGTTCTTTCCATCTTGGGTGACTGCTGTTCTGTCTTATAGCGGATGTAACAAAGGTTCCGGTGGCTCTACCGTACTTTTGTTTAGCCGTTAGCGACTTTAACAGCTAGCGATGGCTTCTCCCTCTCGCTCTCCTGCTCTTTCTTGCTCGGTGTGTCTGATGTTTAGTTACTCCTCTGCCTCCTTTAACGGTAGTGGTATGTGTAACAAGTGTAGTTTATTTCTAGACATGGAGGCGAGGCTCAGTGCGTTAGAAGCTCGGCTCCGCACCGTAGTAGAGCAGCCCTTAGCTAGGCTAGCTAAGTGTAGCCAGTCCCAGGTAGTCGGTGCGGACCGACCTGAGTTAGCTGATAGCCGTCCCCCCCCTTCCCCCCCTCCGGCCTCTCCTGAGCAGCCAGGAAAAGGAAGCTGGGTGGCTGTCCGAGGGAGGAATAGCCGTAAAAAGTCTAAGCACCTAGTGTCCCCTCAATCTGTTCGAGTAGCTAACAGATTTTCCCCACTCAGCGAGCCACCCGCTGAGAAGCCTACCCTAGTAATAGGTAGCTCGATTCTGAGGAATGTGAAGCTGAACACCCCAGGGAGTGTAGTTAAGTGTATTCCTGGGGCCAGAGCGGGCGACATTGAGTCTTATTTGAAACTTCTGGCTAAGGGTAGACGTAGATACAGTAAGATTGTTATCCACGTAGGCGTTAATGACTCCCGGTTACGTCAGTCAGAAGTCACTAAGTTAAATGTGGAGTCAGTTTGTAGATATGCTAGAACAATGTCGGACACCGTAGTTTTCTCTGGCCCCTTGCCCAACCTGGTTAGTGATGACATGTTTAGCCGCATGTCATCTTTCCGTCGATGGCTGGCGAGGTGGTGCCCAGCCAATGATGTGGTCTTTGTGGATCACTGGCAGTCTTTCTGGGGAAGACGTGGCCTGATTAGGAGAGACGGCATCCATCCCACGGGGGAGGGAGCCGCTCTCATTTCTAGAAACCTAGCCAACATTGTTAGCAGACTAGATCGGTGACAGTCCAGGGTTGAGAGGAGGAAGCGGAGTTGTAATGTAACCCTCTTCTCTGCTCCTCCATTCCAGGAGTTATTTAGTGAAAAACCTATAGAGACGGTGTCTGTCCCCCGGTCATTTACATTTTTAAAATTAAGGGTAAACAGAGGAGTTGTCTATAGAAACCTCATAAAAGTTAAAACCACAAGAGAAATAGTGCATGCAAATAAGAGAGTAAAATGTGGACTCTTGAATATCAGATCTCTCTCTTCTAAAGGTGTGCTTGTAAATGAACTCATATCAGATTATAAGATTGATTTATTTTGTCTTACTGAAACCTGGCTGGGTGATGGAGAATATGTGAGCCTAAATGAATCCACCCCTCCCAGTCACAGGAATACTCACATTCCTCGAAGCACAGGTCGAGGAGGTGGAGTTGCAGCTATCTTTGACTCCAGTCTTGTAATCAGCTCTAAAGCTAAATTGAACTATAACTCTTTTGAAAGCCTTGTTCTGAGTCTTTCCCACCCAAGCTGGAAATCACTGCAACCTATTCTATTTATTATAGTGTACCGACCACCCGGTCCATACTCTGAATTCTTATCTGAATTTGCAGAGTTTTTGTCAACTTTAGTCCTTAAAACGGACAAAGTAATTATTGTAGGGGACTTTAATATCCATGTGGATGTTGAGAATGACAGCCTCAGTACTGCATTTATCTCTCTGTTAGATTCCATTGGCTTCTCTCAGAGTATTCATGAACCGACTCACTGTTTTAACCACACCCTTGATCTTGTTCTGGTGTATGGTATTGAAATTGAACATTTAATAGTGTTCCCACATAATCCGTCTTTATCTGACCACTGTTTGCTAACTTTTGAGCTTTTACTGCTGAATTACCCTCCACTGGGTAAAAATGTCTACTCAAGATGCCTGTCTGATAGTGCTATAGCTAAATTTAAGGATGTGATTCCATCAGCTCTACATCCATTATCAAGTCGTACAGAAACAGAGGACTCTTATGTTAATTTCAGTCCTTCCCAAGTTGATCATCTTGTTGATAGTGTTGAAGGCTCGCTGCGAACAGCTCTTAACGCTGTAGCCCCCCTAAAGAAGAAAATTCTTAAACAAAGACGGTTAGCTCCATGGTATACTAGTGAAACCCGCAAATTAAAGCAGATATCTCGGAAACTTGAGAAGAACTGGCGTTCAACCAAGCTGGAAAAGTCTCGTTTATCTTGGCAAGATAGTCTTAAAGCTTATAGGAAGGCCCTCCGTGATGCCAAAGCAGCAGATTACTCGTCTTTAATTGAGGAAAATAGGAACAATCCCAGGTTTCTTTTCAGCACTGTTGCCAGGCTGACTGAGAGCCACAGCTCTATTGAATCAAGTATTCCAATAGCTCTCACTAGCCATGACTTCATGAGCTTCTTTAACGATAAAATTCTAGCTATCAGGAACAAAATCCACCAAGACTTGCCCTCAACTACCATCGACTTATCTTTAAACTCAGTAACTGTAGGACCAGAACCAGTTATATGTTTTGACTGTTTTGCTTCCCTCAATCTTTGTCAACTAACTTCAATCATTTCTTCATCCAAACCTTCAACTTGCCTCTTGGATCCCATCCCGACTAGGTTGCTTAAAGAAGTCCTACCCTTAGTCGGTACTTCTCTGCTAGACGTGATCAATCTGTCCTTATTAACAGGCTATGTGCCACAGTACTTTAAAGTTGCTGTAATTAGGCCTCTTTTGAAAAAGCCTAACCTGGACCCAGATGTTTTAGCCAACTATAGACCTATATCCAACCTTCCATTCATCTCCAAGGTCCTGGAGAAAGCAGTAGCCAAACAGCTGTGTGACTATCTACATAGCAATAGCTTGTTTGAGGATTTTCAGTCAGGATTTAGAGCTCACCATAGCACAGAGACCGCACTGGTGAAAATTACTAATGACCTCCTAATGGCATCAGACAAAGGACTCGTCTCTGTCTTGGTTTTATTAGATCTTAGTGCTGCTTTTGACACCATTGACCATCAGATCCTACTACAGAGACTGGAACATTTCATCGGAATTAAAGGAGCCGTTCTAAGTTGGTTTAGGTCCTATTTATCAGATCGGTTTCAGTTTGTGCATGTTAACGATGAGTCCTCCATGCATGCCAGAGTTAGCCACGGAGTTCCGCAAGGATCCGTTCTCGGACCAATCCTCTTTACTTTATATATGCTTCCTTTAGGTAATATTATCAGGAAACACTCTATCAACTTTCATTGCTATGCAGATGATACTCAGTTATACCTATCGATCAAGCCAGATGAAACTCATCAGCTAGCTAAGCTTCAAATGTGCCTTCAGGATGTTAAAACCTGGATGACCTGCAATTTTCTAATGTTAAACTCAGCTAAAACTGAAGTTATTGTTCTAGTGCCTAAACACCTTCGTGACGCATTATCTAGAGATATAGTTTCCCTGGATGGCATCGCCCTGGCCTCCAGCACCACTGTGAGAAATCTTGGAGTTATCTTCGATCAGGACATGTCGTTTAACTCTCACATTAAGCAAATTTCAAGAACCGCCTTCTTTCACCTTCGTAATATTGCAAAAATTAGGAGCATCCTGTGTAAAAATGATGCAGAAAAACTAGTCCATGCATTTGTTACTTCTAGGCTGGATTACTG